CAAACAGTTTGAAAAATCCAATAAGCTGCCTCAGTGCTAGTTGGTAATTTCCTTCCTAATAGTAAGTAGTTTAAAGCAGTAAAAGTTTTTCCTTATTGGGAAATAAAGCCATGTGTATAGAAAAGTGCTTAAATGTATGTAGTTGGGTTATGGCAAATTATAAAGTGAGCATTTGTAACTACCACTCAGGTTAAGAAACTGAATATTGCCAGGTCTCCAAAAGCCCACAGCATGCTTCTCCTTATCAGAGTCAACTCCCTTACATCCAGAGGTAGACACTAACCCGATTTAATAGTAATTACTTCTTAGCTTTTCTCTGTAGTTTTTTACACCCTCTGTGCATCTATAAACAAGATGGATTAGGTACTTTTCAACATTATATAATGGAATAATATAGTAATAATTCTTTTGTATCTGGCGTCTTTGCTGGGAACTGTCTCTGAAATAGGTCCACATTATGACTAGCAGCTTTCATTTTCATTGCTGTGTAGATTTTCATTCTAAGAATATACTGTATCAGATCTACTGTTGTCAGCTGTTTGGATTATTTGCAGTTTGGGGCAATTGTGAATAATTCTGGCAAGCACTTTCTTATACATGTATTTCGGAAAACATACATGCGGGAGATTTTGGCCAGAGAGTAATAAAAAAAGGACACCACTCTTTTGGAACTGAGATTTTTTTTTTTTTCTCTTTCTAAAAAGTAGAAGGGAGCTACTGCTACTACCAAAAAGAGAAGGAAAACGAATCTTGTCAGAAACAGAGATTAGGAAAAAGAAGCATTTTGTTTAGCCAAATTAAAGAATCTGTATCAATTAAAAATAATGGTGGCCCCAAGAAGGCTGGCATAGAGTAACAACCCAAGGCGATGTGGGTTTCCTTGCATATAATTGCACAGAACGTGCTCTAAGTGGGTCAGCAGGCTATAATCAACACGGTGGAGCTGAAGAATGGGGCCTGTGTGTTCTATCACATGACCGCTCTGTGCTGAGGCGCCCTGGCAGGATGGCTACGTGAATTGTTCTTCGTGTGCCCTGGCTGATCTCAAAAGCAAGGCAGAAAGGTTTTTGGCTTACTGAGTTTTTTTCTCCCACTATCTGAGGAAATTGAAAATTTGAGGTTTTGACATAATTTAGTGGCATCGTATCGATTTTAGAAGTAGGTAATTTAAAGTATTTGAACACCATATCAAGATCACATCAGGATAATGAAGTAAGAATTGAGGAGTAACTGATTTCATTTGGGGATCAAGTCAGATAGTGTTGTTTTAACATCTGGTGCGCTTTCCCAAGTTGACTGTGAGGTGGTAGCCATGGCAGGCTCTAGTTGAGGATGCTTTGACATGCAGAGCAAAACCTTAAATTTGTTTGCTGTTATGACTCGTAACAGCTGTGGGGATTTGTGGACTTTCGTTTCCACAGACATAAAGCTAACGTCCTGTTCACTGCAGATCTAAGTACCTTATTGACTTGATTTCTTGTGTTATTTCTGAATGGTCCCTGAATGTATGGAATTGTTGATGTTTTTTGTACTTTTGGTATAACGCCTTTGCTGGAAAACAAAGTGAGCTTTTCATGCTTGAGTAAACACATTGATGTATTATGAAACTGTCAGACTCATTGAACAACTGGCATAAGCTCAATTATTCAAATATGTGACTCTTTTGAATGGCTTTTGTGTTAGCTAATGCTTTACTACAGCTAGCATAAAGACATTTCAATACCTTCTCTTAAGAAATCAGATCTCAACTATATGATTAGAGAAATACAAAGGATCAGCCTTTATTTATTTATTTAGCAATTTCTTCATTATTATGTATAGCTAATTGGTAGCAGTCATTTGCTCAGATTCATAGGCCATTTTATTTTAAAATATCTATTTACAAAATAATTAGAAAATTATTTATGTAGTATATTTTTTACTTGTATTAGACAAGTGTTTTGCCTGTGTTTTCTTATATACATAGCATATCTGAAATTTTGAGGTCTTTTTTAGTTTTGTTTGTATTGTAAATCTTTTTCAAATTCCGTGATCTTTATAATAGTCGTTTTTATTAATTGAATTATTTAACAACATGCTAATCATTTCCCTCATTTGAAATGTGTTTTGTACTTTTTCATTTTTGCAGATAATTAATATGTGGGCTGTATTTTTTTCAGTTATATTACTACAACAGATATTGCCAGTTGCTTTCCAGAAGGCAGTAGTACCCTCTTATATGTTTATGTAAATATCAATGCCTTTTACCAATAAAAAGGAGAAGAAGCCTACTAAATGTAATTCAGAATTAACATTTAGAGTATCCTGTAATCTGGTAGAGACTTTTTCCCTTTGTAAATCCAATTTCTATTTTTAGCAAAGTAATATATGCAAATAGTTAGAAAAATCCAATAAGCTATGTAGTGCTACAGTGAAGAACAGCAGCAAGAGGCTTCTGTTTTCTCACTCCTGACTGTTGGTGGTTTTTGAGAATACTCAGCTCTTGCCTATTTGTGAAAATATATGGCTTCATTTTGGTAATGTGTGATTTTTTTTTTCTCACTTTTCTATTGATTTCCTTTTCTGGAAGATGAGGCTTTAGCTCTTACAGTTCTTTTCCATCTTTTCAGAATTGGCACAACTTGGTTTTATCAATATTGATATGGTTAATATTATCACTGTGTTAAGTAGTATTTGTAACCAAATCATATTGTGTATGTGTATAAAATAAAATGATTATATCTTCTTATGTTTCATATTTTTCCAGGGATTAGTAACCCCCATGTCTTTTTGCTTGCTTTATTTTCCTTATTCCTGTTTCTAGTTTTTCAGTAAGTGTTCTGACATTGTTGTAAAACTCCTTTTGATACTTCCAAACACATAAAGTAACCCCTCAAATGTGTGTGTGTGTGTGTGTGTGTGTGTGTGTTTTCCGAAACTCCCTTGAGGACCCTGTACATTTTGCTCCAGTGTGCACAGGTTGCTCTCAGGGCTTGTGGCTCGTTTGACATCTTAAAATTCCCTTCATGGTATGGTCCTGGACATTTCTTTTGTCTTTCTCTGTCTTGTTGATTCTTTGATTCCTGGATCTTATCTCTTTCTTTTAAATGTAGGTTCATGTTTTGATGAATCCCTGAGAAAAATGCAGGGAAGATATTTTTTTTTCGAGACTGACTGTCTGGCAAGGCCATTATTTTGTCTTCACACTTGATTGACAGCTTGGCTGGGTGTGCAGTTTGGGGCTGGGAATAATGATTTCTTGGGGTTTTGAAGGCAGTGCCTCACTCAGCATTGCTGTTGAGTTCAGTGCCATTCTGATTTCCAGTTTTTTTTTTTTTTTTTTTTAATGGCCTTTTCCTTTATTTCTGCTTTCTTTGGGAACTTTTAGAATCTTCTTGTTTTTGGAGTTCTGGTATTTTACAGTATTCCCTGGTTGTGTCTTTTTTCATTCATTTTCTTTCCTAGCTGGGTGGTGTACCTTTTTGAATCAGAAGCATGTTTTGCAGTTTCTGTGTTTTCTCTTTGAACGACATGTTATGTAAATGTGGTGAACTGATTCTTTGGTTTTTCTGTCTTTTTTCTCCCATTTCCCTTTCTTATTGTCCTTCTGAGAGATTTTATTAACTTTATTTTTTAACCTCCCTTATTAAATTCTTTTGTTGATGCTACTGTATTTTTTAATTTCTAAGAACTTATGTCTAATTCATGCTTCACATGGATTCCTGCTGCTTCATCTGATTTTTCTGAGGATGGCGATTATATTTTTGGGTTGATGAAGTTTTCCTCTGTCCCTGTGTCATGTTTGCTTCGTCTGAGGAGTGTATGTGTACTCACTCTCTTTCTTGCATATCGTGGCCATTTCTCAAGTGCCCAGACAATCTAGGCTGTCTCTAAATTTAAGTTCCAAGTGCTGGAGATGGGGGTGAGGAGGTATGTGTGTGTGCGTGTGTACATGGGTGAGGCTGACCTGGAGCTTCTCTGGAAGACACTGGTTTGGGTAGGTCTGTGCACAAGACTGGGGCCTCCCTGGGGGCAAAAGAGCAGGTGTGATCTCACTGATCAGACTGTGACTGGGTCCCTGGTTTTAGTGGGGTTACTTTATCCTTGCCCTCTGCCTTGCTAAGCTGTGCTTGGAGTTAATTCTTCTAGGAAGGAAGTTTCCAGTTTCCTGACTGGCTCTGCAGGGTAGAGAAGAGAATATGAGGGTTTAACTGTTTTTAATATAAAATTTCAGGCAGTTCTTCAGAGGTACCTGGATCTGATTTCTTGTTGGCTTCTTACCTCACAGGATTAAATTTCAGCTTCATTTTAGTTCTTTTGTTAGTTACCATTCACCCATCTGTTTTAAAGCTTCAAGAATTTGGTTGCATGTTGTTGCTTCTTGTCCTCTCTCATTTTCAGTTGTCTTCATGGGATTATTACATGGTTTTATATTTATGTCTGTCTCTATATAAATGGCTGTAGTATCATTTTAGTTCATTTAAAAAGGTTGTAGAAGAAAAACGGCACATGCTCATTCTGTCCTGGTTGATGGAAGTGCAGACACTTTAGATTTTGATCAAAAGTATTTCTCTCCTATATGTATTTGTGGAATATTTATTATAGTTTGTTGTGTGCAGTCATTTCTTTAAAAGCACTTTAAAATGTATTTTAGTCTTATTTCTGCATTTTTTAACATTACAGATTTAACATCAATTTTCATATATAGAAGACATAGCTATAAAACAGTTTAAAAGGGATGACTGTTAATCTCATTAAGTTGCTCATTGATTCTTAAAATCTTTTTATTTTTAAATAGTTATAGATTAATTGGGAGTTGTTAAAATACTACTGAGAGGTCCTTCCTGCCATCTATGCCAATGACAATATCTTTACATGACTATAGTACGCTACCCAAATCAGGAAATTGACAGTGATACAGTCTTAGTTTTAAAAGACACATTGTGTTACATTTCCTATTTGCCAAAAAGCTTCTTCTGCAAATACATATAAAATGTATGTAAAACTATTTTGTCTTTCAGCAATTTTTCCAGCTAGTCAAATTACGAAAGCTTGGACTTAGTGATAATGAAATTCAGCGGCTCCCTCCAGAAATAGCAAACTTCATGCAGCTGGTGGAACTTGATGTGTCCCGAAATGGTAAGGAAAAGATTCTGCTTAGATTTGGATTGTCCATTTGTCTCTTCAGATGTTGAAGGCATTTTAAAAATACATTTATATATACATTTTAATATACATTAATATACATTTATCTGCCTACATTGGTGGATAAATGTTATGGAGATGCTTTTCCTGGTAGTTATGAGAAAGCTATGCATATGTTTGTTATTTGTGGAAATTTGTGCATTTTTAATAGTTATAAGCATTTACCCTCAAATTTTTTCATAATATAATATTAAGCTGCCAGATTTTTCAAGGTATGTTCAATATGACTCTTGGAGTAAAGCTTTGGCTGGGAAGTCATTTGACCTAACTTGTTCACTGTGCTGAACATGACCTTGAGGGTTGGTGGTGAATGTCTGGGTACTGCTGCAGGTGGGAAAGTCTGCCCTTGGGGAGGGTTGGTTTCTCTTGGCTCTGGCTCAGTGCCTTAGTGTGTTCTAACTGCAGTGAGCAGACCTGTTCTGGCATCTTCTGTTATCTTAATTTATTTCTAATTAGGCTGGTGGTGGTTCTGTCAAATTACAAAAGCTTGGACTTAGTGATAATGAAATTCAGTGGCTCCCTCCAGATTTTGTGTGGTATATTTATGAATTTAGTTTGATTTTCAGATTTCACTATTATATTGCTTCCTTCTTATTAAACATTCAGCAGGTATTTATATCCACACACTTTTTATTTTTAAACAGATACCTGGTTGAAATCCAGGTCAGTGCTTTAAAGCCCCCTGCATGGGCCTCCAGGCCTACTTCTTAGGGCATGCAGGATTGAGAAAGTCCCGATGGCAGCTCTGGCTGTCCTTGCTACCGAAGGAATTCAATTCTTGTAAGGACTCTCATAAAATTCCCTCAGGATAGGTCCAAATATAGTCTGGATAATGATTTCTCTCAGATTACTACCTTTTTTGCTTTTGCTTCCCTATAGTAATCTTTTTTTCCAGTGAACCTTACTTCTGTATAGTAACAATCTTTTGTCTTCAACAGAAACCCCAGGACTCAGATACCATATTCTTCTGTGGATCATTGTTATAATGCAGCAATGATGATCAGTATTTGAAAACACATTGAAGAAAAATGATCCTTTCCTCCTTTTAACCGCTTTTAAACTGCTGTCTTTTATCAGATCCCATAAATTGACAGCTATCTTCTGGCCAAGCCATGTGATGGTATCTACTTTTACTTTTCTTACCTTGAAGGTATTTGGAAAAATAGAAAAACAAAAACAAACCTGTTTTTTTCTTTTGGCTCATTTTAGAGTGGTTTGTGGGGTTATGGGTACCCAAATCAGCTTAGGTAAGGTGGTGATGGAAAGGATGGGACTGGAACTGGCACTCTAAAAGCACTGGCAATTGAGCTCACATTTGACATCATCTTAGGGGTTCACAGTCTTTGTCTTAGAGTACATCAGCTTCTGATGTAGGTGCTCTGTCCTTTCCTCCCCACTGACCTATTCTTTTGGAATTGGCTTATAGTGGCATCTCCACACCAAGGTCTTGTGACCTCTTTAGTTCTGCACTTTTTGGTTTCTTTCCCTGATGTGATATTTGCCAACAACACATTTCTAAGTGAGGAACAGTTAGCTTATCTTTATATGTCAACCATAGGACTCAGGCTAATGTCATGGGCCACCATGAGGCTGGCTGCCTTGGGAGGGAAGTGCAAGTAGTGCAAAGCAAAGCCCTAACCTTCACACCAAAGTTGGTGGGGAGCWCTTACATGGGAGTTGGAGTGGTCGGGGTGGGGCAGGCATTTGAGGCCTTGCCTGGCCAAAAGGACCTCTAAGGCAGTCYTGAAGTGTACCTGTGTACGGGCTATTTGATGGAAGTGACTCTCTTGTCGTAGTAGTGACCTCAGTTATAAAGAACGACTGTCTGTTAACTCCAGAAGGAAGCAGCAACTATGTAAAATGATCACTGAAATCATGAAAACTGAAGGAATAAAAATGGCAATTTTGAATTTGGCATTAGATAGGAAAAATAAGCAGGGATCCAGAAATACTTAAGAAAGAGGAGTAAGCTCCCAGTCCTGTTATTAACTCTAATGGGATGCTCTGTGGGAAGTGTTACTAGTCAGCTGCCAGTAGTCTCACCAGTTCTTAGCTCTTCCTTTTCAAACATGTTTGCCTTCCACCATATTGATAAAAAGAAGCGAGGCTTCTCGGAATTCAGTGTTAGAACACAAAAGTGGTTCTTCTCTTTGGGATGCCTACCCTGTACATCTTTTAAATTCCTCATTTCCAATCCTTATTGTCACAAGTGTTAGAGTTTTGTGAAGAATCCTGCAGATCTTGTACCTTCATATCAGGCTCTTGGAAATTTTGAGGGGAGCAAACTGTCCCCTTCCCTTACTGACAGAGTCTTTACCTGGCTCAGTAGCATAAAGGTGGGTGTGTGGGTGTGGGGGTGGTTGGTTGGGATGGTGGGGAAGGCAGCATGGCAGGTGGCAGAGTGTATGGCTTTCTTTGAGGTTGTAAATAACAATAACAAAAAACYTTACAGATGACAGCAGAACAAGGCCACCATTTACCCTAATCAACATGAGTCTTGGGCTGTTTCCAGGTCAGTCAAATTTCACTCTGCTTCCTTTCCCATTTTATTTTATTTTTGTTTGTTTATTTGCAGATAAAATCACATTAATGTTACTTTTCAAGGCAACTGAATTGGTACATAAAGGTCACGAAGCTTGCAGCCTGAGAAGTAACGTGACAACCCTACTCTGTGCAAAAGCAGGCATTTGTAAGGGTCCAGGGCTGGTGTCCGGAGGCTTCTCTGACCTCTGGTTTTGTGTTGCCCCAATTAAAGATGCCTCTGTCTGATCAGAGGCTGATTTTCTGCCCAGCCCCTGGGTTCTGGGTTATAGTAGGGCCATAACAAGGGCTGGCCACCTCTTTTTTTTTAATATTTATTTTTTAGTTTTAGGTGGACACCGTATCTTTATTTTATTTTTATGTAGTGCTAAGGATCGAACCCAGTGACCCATGCATGGTAGGAGAGCGCGCTACCACTGAGCCACAACCCCAGCCCCCCCCCTGGCTGGCCACCTCTTGATAGACCTTCAAAGGTTTCATTAATTCCCAATTTTCTAAAAATAAAAATCAATGTTTTGTCCATGGAGGAGGAAGGAGGGGTCTTGGTATCAGATCACTCAAATGTATTGGGTTAATGCTTGCCAGACTTGATCCATCAATGGATTCCCTGAGAATTTTGTTAAAACACTTATTAGCAATAGTTCCGAAGTAGGTGTTGAGTGTCTGCCTTGCTAAGAAGCACCCATGGGTATCAAACCAGCTTGCCATCAAACACCAGGAGTTAGCAAGATCTTGGATGCCACAACTCAGAAGCCTGCTACTAACTATCCTTCAGTCTTCTTGTGGTTACGTGCCCATGTTTGCTCTGCTTCTAGGATCCTTGCACCTTCCCATGCAGAGGGTAGGAAATCTTCAGGATATTCCTGGTTAAAGGGAGAGATCCCAGAGATGACTTAAGCCCAAGGTTGCTTTGATACCAGGAGCAGAATTAGACCTTTCCTGATGTTTCCTTGCTTAAGTGAGGGAGAAAAGATATATTTTGTGTTTCTTTTCTTTTTTCTTTAAAAAATGTCTGTAAATGAGAAAGAGTGAAATTTTCACAGGTTTATTTCCTGGGCCAAGGGGAACTACCAAGACCTCTAGACACTGACTTTTGTGGCTTTGGTTTCTGATACTTCAGGCACAAAGTCAAGGAAATTATGTGCTGTGTTAGAAAAGAGAAGAGTGGAGTTTGGGAGAAGGAGGGCAGCTATGGGTCTCTGYTGCCATGTGGGTTGTTTCTGAGGTCCTGATAGAGAGCTTGGCAGGGAGGACCGGGGCTGGGCCCTATGTTCTGACCTCAGTGCTGGCCCTTGATGTGGCCAGACCATGATTTGGGAATAAAAAGAAACTAGATTGGAATGTAGTATATGAATTTGGTATCTGAATATGTTGTTAAAATTTTGTCCACCAAATTTTACAGGCTTAGAATTAAGGGCGAAAGCTGTTTTCTGTGGGGACATACATGTGCTTTAATGCCTAGACTCTATGTGTTTTCCCTCTGCTCACTGATTCTTTACTATTCAAGCAAAATGACCTCTGCTTGTCTGAGAAAAGATGTTACCCGCTAGTGGGATCTTACTGTCCAAGGATCTAGTGCAGACTTTCTTAATGCATCATGATTCCTGCCCTAAGGGTTAGTAATTTGAATTTTATAGTCTATGCTGTAATTTGACTTACATCACAGTGCTATATCATTATCCATTTAGTTTAGTTTTCTCTAAAGTATAAGGCGTATACCACTGGCACAGCTAGAGATGATTTTTAGTGGTACTGCAAAACTGCAATTTTTAATGTTGAATCATGGTGAGAAAGTTATCCTTTTTTCCTAATTCTGTTCTTCTTGGGTTGCCTTCCATAAAGGTTTATAATACTATATTGTATTTTTGTTGTATTTATCTTCTATTTCTGGTAGTGATAATAGCTTTGTGTTCATGTTGGTGATTTAAAACAATTTGCTTTCTTTAAAATTAAATCTTATTCAAATTAAAGTCAATTTAAAGAAAGAAGCAAATAACAAGGAATACAGGGGGCTAGGCCAGTATGACAGATTGTGAAGATAGGTAGCTTAAATTAAAGAAACACTGATTAGTATTAGTGTACCATACCAAAGAAGTTGAGTTTATTTCTCTTATGAGGAAAGTAGCACTGCATTTAGATAAACCTTGGCCAGAGAATGCATACCTTGGCTAATTATTTTGCAAACTTGAGTTTACAAGAACTTAAAAATAAGATAGTTTTGGCACAAATCATTGGCAGTCCCAGGATCACACTGTAGGTAAGCAGACCCCTACCAGCAGGGCCATTTCCTGCTCTTTCCTAGAGGTTAGCTTTAATTAGATGCTTGGGGGTAGTTGTCCTGTGTCCAACCTGGGGATGCTGATCAGTGTCTGTGGTCTGTAGCTTTTGGCTGG